AAAAGTAGTGAGGTTTTTTCCGAAAAGTAGGGAGGTTTTTTCCGAAAAGTCCGTAGGGTCTCGTCGGATAAGTCCGTAGGGTCTCATCTGATAAGTCCGTAGGGTCTCGTCTGAAAAGTCCGTAGGGTCTCGTCGGATAAGATCGTAGGGTCTCGTCGGATAAGTCCGTAGGGTCTCGTCCGATAAGTCCGTAGGGTCTCGTCGGATAAGTCCGTAGGGTCTCGTCCGATATGCCCGTAGGGTATTTCCGATAAGTTTGTAGGGTGTGTTTAATTAGGCCTCGTAGAAGAGTCTCGTAAACAAGCCTCGTTAAAAAGCCTCGTAATCGAGTTTCTTGTATTTACAAACTTTTCTATTTCATTGAAAAATTAGTATAAATTTCCTAAATACGCAAACATTATTATTAAGAGACATGTCTTTGGATATTTATAAAAATAGTATTCTACAATGTTGTCTAATTCTTTTTCTTTCATGTATCTTATAATAAATTTTTTTTTTTTGTAAAATTTTGCAGACAATACAATTATTTTAATCTATATATTTCATAATCATTAATAAGAATAATATTTACGAAATAAATAATTTAATAATAATTTTTTAATAAAATAGAAACATTTTTAAATAGAATAGAAATGATACGTTTGGTAAAAAAAACATACCATGCACCTTCTTTGTTTATGTCGACCGTCGGTTCGTTTGGACCTTATACTTTTGTCGCATACCTACGTGCTTATCTCTGTTTATTCTTTTACCCTTCTATTGCTCCTACCTACAAACATTTCGAGTATCGAAAGAATATGTGTGTTTACGCTTTGTCTAAATCCTATGTTTGTCTTTTTTTCTCTCATTACTTGGTATGGCAACCGTTTCATAGCTTCGTTACATAGCTCCGTTTCCATTTATTTACTTTCCAGATCACTCCCATTCTAAAGAAGTTTTCACTTCAAAATATAAAATATGAAACACAATTATGTCGTAAATAATTTAAAAAAAAATATAACAAATATTTAGGTATAATAAAATTGTAGGAAAAATAATAAAAACAGTATAAAAAAAAATAAGATAAAAATCCCTAATATATGTTTTACATATTAATATATGCATATCCTATATAATTTTAAAATTCCTAAATAAATAATATAACAAAAAAAATAATAATAAAATAAATATATTTTATGAATTCTAAAATAATTTTAGAAAAAATAATAACAAAGGTATATTATATATATATAACACTTTGCCGTCCGCTCATTTTGTGAGTAGCCGTGGCGCTGCCACCGGCGAGATTCACGCTGAAGGAAAATAAGTCACGCGTACGTGATAGCGGCCGATAACGGTTGGTAAGAAAAAGTCACGTATACGTGACAGCGGTCGGCAAAGTGTTAATATATATCCTAAATAATTCAACAACAAAAATAACAAATATTAAACATCTAATAAAACATTAAAAAAAAATAATAAGAAATGTATAAACAAATTTAGATAAAAAATCCCTAATATACATCGAATAACGTTATATGTATATACACAAAGTACATACAACTTATATATTAAAATGGTAGGTATATAGTATATAGTATATATATACGTTATATATAGATATATATAGTATGTGCTTGGAACTCTGTGTATTAGTCAACAAATCTCGTGAATTCGAGTACATGGTAAGGATAAGGGATTGGATGGATGGGAGACGTGGTAAGGGGTATTGTGGGGTGGTTAGGAAAAGCAAATGCAATCAACTTACTCAACGTTGCGTTGTTGGCTCGTGACTGGTCGGTCTGAGATCTGAGTAACCGCAGACGATTCAGCTTACTCTGTTGCTGGTCAAGTCTGTGCCTCAATCTAGCGAGTTTGTCCTGCTGTGCTGGCTCCTGAAACACCAAAACCAGAGATTGACTATGAACCAAACCTTCAAACAATCTTCCACAATAACGACGACCAATAACAAAGAAGAAGAATTTTTTAAAAATATTGAGTTGCTAACTAAGTGATTATGAATTTTAAATAAGAAGGAAAATTCCAAATTTTTGCTTCAAATTATAATAAATAGAATAAATTTAATAATTATTTTAAAATAAAAAGTATATTAAATAAGAGAAAAGAAAAAAATGTGTGTGGTAGTGGTATAAATAATTTATAATTAAAAAAAAAAAAATAAACAAAAAATAAGAAATAAAATAGATTTTTATATTCTCAACAATTTTTAAGCGAGTAAAAAGAAAAATTATTAAAAAATAAATTAAAAATTAGAAATATAAATTTAATAATTATTATTTAAAATAAAAAAAAAGTATTAAATTAGAGAAAAGAAAAAGATGTGTTAGTTTGTTTTACTCGTTTGTATTATGTTGGTACAAAAAATTTGATAGATGATAACCAAAGAAACGTGAGTGTCAGTTTTTTATTTTTTTTTTTTTTACTAAGGTAAGTAAAAATCGAATCGAAATATCGAGTGGGTGAAAAATTCGTTTGGAAGTCTGATTGACACCATTGGCTGACTTCTACTACTACTTGCACGAATCAAATTGTATTGATGATCATTTTCTATTGATCGGTAGAAAGATGGTTCTTGTTTTTGAACTAGATAGATAGGTGTTATTATATTATACCTTTTCTTTTATACGTTCTATATCTTTCTTATTTCTCTCTCTTTTTTTTTCTTTTTTTTTTGCATCGGTAAGAAAGGAAATAAAATCGCGAAATGACGTATAAAACTATTGACGTATGTATTCGGGTATCGAAGTCCAATTCGATTTTCAACGAAAGATAGAAGGAAATAGGAATTTTTTCTAAGGTAGATTAAGATCTTCCTGTGTTCTCGATATATATGTATAGGGTGATAAAAAAAATAGCTATACGATATTTCAAAGATTTATATTACGATTAATAAATTATTTTGGGTCTTAAAATCAATTAGAATCAATGTATAATAAATAAAACTATTATTAATTATAATTGTGTATGAAATAAAATGTTTATTCAAAATTAGTACTAATACGTTCACGAAATAATCTTTAACGATATATGTAATAATTGTTGCTTATTTTTATAATAAACTTATCTTGAAAAATTTTAATTATTGATAATTAATTATTTCTATATTGTTAATAAAGAATATATATATATATATAATTATTTATTAATTTATATTATTGATAATTATTTATTTTTATATTGCTATTAAAAAAAATATGTTATCAAGTAATTTAGTTACACGATATATATCTAACATTAATAAATAATTAAAATTAATTTATATATGTATATATATAATATTAATTTTATTAACTAATAATATCCTATATTTATATTAATATTAATTTATATAAAATAATTTATATATAGAGTTGATTATAGGATTCATGTTAATCAGACATTTTTTATTAGTCTCAATGAATATCACATGTTTTTGAAATATCTATAACACTTTTTTATATCAGCCCATATATCAGAGAATATGTCTTCTAGTGATAGTGATATAAAGAAAAGTATGAAAAAGTCAAGACGATTCGAACGTGTGACCTTTTCACTAGGATATAGAATTCGTCATAGAGATGAAGGATCTGTGGGTAATATGTAGTACCATATACATATATGAAGATCAATATGTTGAATGTGTGATGTGTTGGTAACTATGCGAGATCATTTTCCATTTTGAAAATTCCTTTACATTTCTTTATATCTATATATATGTACAAGTATGCGTGAATAGGTACCATTCTCGATTTATCTTTCTATCACGAGATCATATATATATATATATATATTATAAATTCAATCCGTCATGAATTTAGATTAGATGTTTCAAAAAAGAAAGAAGAAATTAATGAGCTTACAAAATTAAAAAGCAGTGAGAATTGATAACACTCGTGGGGATGTTAATCAGACGTTTTATGTGAAATATCAAGATTATAATATAAAAATATAATATAAAATAAAAAAAATAAAGAGATAATTAATATATTATTATCATTGAGGTACCAACAAGTAGAAAAATTTAATATATAATGTATTATATATTAAAAATTATATTATATATAGTATTAATATATTACAAATAATATTAAAATTATATTATATTATTTATCAATTATAATATAATTATATATTAAAAATTATATCTAATATTATTAATTAATTATATATAATATAATTATATATTACACACAAATTATATTATATTATTATATTACAAAATATGTATAAAATTTAATATAAATTGTATTCGAGCAATATATACATTAACTTTTAAAAAAGATATAAATTTAAAAATGTGTATACATATAGCGTTTACAATAAAACAATTTTCTAATCTCGATATTTTGCGAATCCTTATGTTATCCTCTTACAAATTCATACTAATACTTTTATATTCGCCATAAAGACCAAAATCGATGAGGATTATTCTTTCTCATGTCTCGTGTCACATATGAATGAAACGTAAGAATAAAAAAGGAAAAAAAGAAAGAAGAAGAATAGAAAGAAAGGGTTGTAAGGGTTCTTCGAATTTTTAGCGGTTCACGAGCTGACAAAAGAATTTTCAAGAGATCGGGTCGATAGTTTGAAGTAAGGGAGGATGTAGTACTATCGATAGATAAGAGAATGAAGGGGAGTTAGGTAGATAGATAGGTAATACTTTGCGTTCATGCGTGCGTGTAATGAAACGTATCATGTATCACGCCAATGAAAAATAAAAAGTAAAGACACAAGCTCTTACGTGAGTCTGTCTCCTTGTCGTCTTTGCTAGAGCTACTTAACCCCCATGATTGAGTAATGGTGTAGAATATATATATATATATTGTACTCTTACTATAGTTGGTTGGTAGTAATAGTAGTAGTAGATCGTGTGAAGCGCGAATAACGGGCCAAGTGTCTCTTCACGTTCGATATTAACCCGATTAACCGACAACGATAGAGTCTACGACGTGTAATCGGATCTTTGTGTCGTATGTTCCCTCTCTCTCTCTCTCTCTCTTTCTCTATCTATCTATCTATCTATCTATCTTCATCTCTCTTTCTCTTTACTCTTCCTTACTTGTCCTTTCCAACACTTCTTACATATTACAGATTCCTTCGTGTGTATTAATACACTTCATTTTCTCCTTTCTTTTGGTTTTTTTTTGCAATATTATATATATATATATCGTAGGTATTTAAATTTATATCTTATTTAAAAGTGTGTGTTAAAGTATATATTACTCGAATAAAATTAATATCTTACATTTTTCTACTTGTTGTTAGTGTTTTTCAATATAGAATTGTTCCTTGCTTTTTTTTTTGTACCAAAAGTTACAAAATACACTATATATATATATATATTATATATATTGTAGGTATCAGTAGTAAATCAAATCAATCGATTCGCACGACCGCGAATTTCAATTTACCCGCGTAAAATTCGATCAGACTTGACAGTTTCTATGGGACTCAACAGAAACGATAAGAGATAGGTGCATTGTGCTTCTATTGTTATTGACGTTATATATAGTCTTCTTTTTAGATCTTATACTTCTTGTCCTTTTGTCACCCATATTCTTTTTCTCTATTTCTATTCTTGTTTTATATTATTTTTTTTTTGACTCGTAATATGTGGATTTCGCGTTTCAAATCCGGATGTGTCTTCCGGATGCTATGGGGGTTTTTGCAATAGACCTCGAATAGAAGAATAGATGAATAGAATGAATAGAAGAAAATAGAAGGAAAAGAAGAGAGAGAGAGAAAAAAAACATAATAATAATAATATTATAAAAAAAATGACAATGGTTTAATTCATCATTCTTCCATTCCTTTTCATCGACGTAAATTCAATGTGGGTGCAGGTAGGAACAAATTAAAAATTAATATTGAAGTAAAATATTGGGGTGGCTTAAAGTGTTTGGTAGATCTCGTTAATGAACTTGAAATGTTGATTGAATTTTTTTTTTAATTTTTGTATTGATATTAACAAAAAATGTAATATTAAAATGTCAGGATGGCAATCAAATTTTCTTTTTATAAATTATATATATTGAATTATTATATATATTATAATTATTAAATTATAAATATTATTATTTATTATATATATATATATAATATAATAATAAAATTAATTATTATTAAAATAAT